TTTTTTTTTCCTCAACACATTTCTTCCCTTGGCTCTTTGCACTGTATCCAGGAGCGGCCCGAGGCGAGCTGTGGCAGCTGGCGCATCAGGCGGAACGCACAATCGGCGCCCCCACCTGCACGGCCGTCAAGGGATTGACCTCATAAATGGGCGCACTGTGCGCCCCGTGACATCATCATTGGGTGCACTGTGTGCCCCGTGACATCATCATTGGGTGCACTGTGCGCCCCGTGACATCATCATTGGGTGCACTGTGCGCCCCGTGACATCATCATTGGGTGCACTGTGCGCCCCGTGACATCATCATTGGGTGCACTGTGCGCCCCGTGACATCATCATTGGGTGCACTGTGCGCCCCGTGACATCATCATTGGGTGCACTGTGCGCCCCGTGACATCATCATTGGGTGCACTGTGCGCCCCGTGACATCATCATTGGGTGCACTGTGCGCCCCGTGACATCATAAGTGGGTGCACTGTGCGCCCCGTGACATCATCATTGGGTGCACTGTGCGCCCCGTGACATCATCACCACTAGTTTGGCTCTTCGTCTGTAACAAGTTGGCCGCCCCAGTCTGCTTTAACCACTAGACCCCGCTCCCTTCCCTGTGTGAGGGAAACAACCAAGGAATCCATAGTTCCAGCCCCATCCTGCACTTGCTCTTGTCCTCACCTCCCTCTCAGGGCGGGAAGAGGACCCAGGAGTGTGGGTGCCCAGTTTCCCCCCCTCGCCCGTCGTACCCCACGGCAGACGTCCAAAGGGACCAGGATGATCAGGATCTGGCCCCAGGCACCTTCCCGCTGGTGGACTAAAGACTGACACACGTAGGAGGGGATTAGGGCATGAGCCTTGGGAGCTGCAACTCACGTCCTCAGCCGCTGCAGAAAGAAAGAAAGAAAGAAAGAAAGAAAGAAAGAAAGAAAGAAAGAAAGAAAGCAGCAAGGCAGAGTGACCCCAGAGCTAACCGAACCGGCCTGGCGGTGGCTCATCTCCAGCAGGGGGAGAAGGGACGAGGACGTGAGCGGGAAATTCCCCAGTGCATTGGGAGAACGGCTCCCTGGGCGTGTTTAGACCTTGGCTCGGGGAGTCCAGTTTGCACCCGAATCCCAGCTCAGCAGAGTCTCTCTCCGGTCTGTGTTTGGAGGTTTCTGTCTCAGGCTGGCAGCTTGCAAGTCAGGTTTCTGTCTCAGGCTGGCAGCTTCCAAGTCTGAAACTGTCCCGGGGGCTTTTGTATGTTGCCGCTCTTAATGCCTGATCTGTGTCCACTGATCCATCTACGCAGGGGGAGTCTGGTTTGGCCGATGCACAGGGCAGGGGGCGTTGCTGGCACCCGATGGCCTATGTCACCTTAAAGGATCCTGACACAAGGAGGGGAGATGCACCCGGGGGTGGGGGTAGGGATGTGCACAGCAGCTTGTCCATTGCATGGAATGAAAACTACTCACCCATCTGTGTTTTATACGCCCTTCTACACACTACAAACCCAAGTGCCACCTAGTGGACAGAATCAGAACTTCCGGCTTCTGTGTGTCAAAGCCCCTGCACTGTTCAGCTCCTGCATCAATTCTCTGTTAGATTCAGAGGGGTGGGCCGGCTCTAACGTAGGTTGTTGGAATCTTTCCTCTCACATGCAGGGAGAGTTGTAGCAGCCTGGATGTTGCTGGGATGCTGGTAGCATGTGTGGTGCCTGCGGAACTCCCTGCCACTGGATTCCCATTAATGAAGACTCTCTCTGTTTCTCTCCCA